TTTTTTTTTTTTTTTTCCCGAGACGGACCATTAGGCATTATTCAATATGTTTATACCCTAATCAACTGAGTTGATGGGATGTAAAGACAGAAGAAAAAAAAAGAATTAGTTACTGAATATCAGTGTTTTGTCCTGACTCGTGGCTTCAAAACGATGAAGAGAAGGGTTCGTGCTTCTTAAACGGTTTGTCAATTCGGCAAATTGTTTGATCAGTTCTTTATTTGAGTTCAGTTCTTTTCTGTTCAGTTCTATTCTATTCTGCGCTAGTCTGTTCAGTTCGTGTTTAGTGTGTTGACATCGGCTGTTGCAGTTCTTTAAAAATTTACCACAAATAACTGGTGAATAATTCATTAACTGATCAACGGTATCTTTTAGTTAATCAATCATAATCTTTCCTTGCCTTCTGCCGCCATAATAATATTTAATCTTTTGTTGTATTTCTCACCGAATTCAACTGTATATTTTAGTCTTGAAGAAATGAAACAGAACAAAAGTAAAGAGAGATGAAAAACAAGAAGAAATAATAGAATAACTACTGCTTTAAATCTTCCAATTTTTGCTAGTTTTTTATCAGCATTTGATGGGCATTAGTAATGACAATAAAAGCAACAAAAATAGAAAAATAAAAACGATATTTATTTATTTTTTAGTTCACCTTTTTTTGGCTTTATAATAAAACCAAAGAACGGTGTATTGGTTCTTATCTTTGTTTATAATTAGGTTGATTAACACTTGAAAACTAGCTAAGATCTTGCATACTTAGGTAATTATTTTAAGGCTTAAAAGTTAGTCATAAGCAACTTTATCTTTTGAATATGAAGGAAGAATTAAAGGTTATTGATCAAGAGCAGTAATAGCAGATACTTTAGCTGCGGAACTGTAGTAAATGTAGCTGAAACTATGTTAAGATGATAGAAAATCTGTTGGTTACACAATTTCTTTTATAGCCCTAAATTAGGCTAAAAAGTAAGGCGTCTGTTAAATGGATTTGATTTTGTTCAGTGAATTGAATATTTCTTTAGGATATTTAGTTGTTACAATTGTTGATTGACCAAATTATTTGATCAGTAAAAAATAAGCAGTTATTGCTGATACTAACACGATAATGTCATCAAATTGAAAAATCATTTCTCAATTTTTATCTTACCTCAATTTCCTACGCCTATGTTGTATTGGTCTTCTTACAACACAAAAATTTCGACAGCACTTAAGCTATTTTTTGCAAAAAAAAAAAGAAAAAAAAATTGAATTAAAAGAATTTGTTATTATTATAAAAACTGCTGATGAGACTGTATCAGTTACCAATGATTTTGCATGAACCAATTTTATATGGAAATTCTGTGGCTCATCTGTGGTAAACAGACGGAAGAGTATACGGTGGTATTTCAAAACATTCCACTATAAACATAGTATTTGTTGTTCAGATCTGCAGATATTATTATGTTTTGATATACAAATTAATTATTTAGAGCAACTTTTTTTTTTTTT